TTGAACAATAAAACCAAAGGATCTGTCTTAAGTATCTTTATCGAGCTGGTGAGTGGTTTCTCATGCAGTGCTCCGGGGCACGAAGGAAGAAGCAGTTGCATTACTCAGCCTCCTCATGTTACCACTGGCTCTTCTCCCCACCTGCTGGACCCACGGCTGCCCTCATTACACCTAACTGTACCCCATTGTGCTCTCCCTGATTATCTTGGCCAAAGAGTCAACAAATCCATTTCCCCTGTCATTCAGCCAAGTCCAGTATCTTATCTGTCAAAGAGAAATTTATGAGGCAACAGAACAGAAAAACATGAAAACTTTTTATAAAGCACCAATTTTTTTCCCTAAGAAATTCCAGCCTCACTCAGGCTTGGTGCATGTGCCTTTCTGTGTGTAGTGCCAAGGTTCCTTTACTTTCCCCTCATTACCTGGCTTGGAAGGTAGACCCAGTCACTGCATGCATTTCTACCCTAAGGGAGATACGGGGTCTCTCAACTGCTTGGTCTGGTGGGATTCATGCTGTGCTCTAGAACCTGCTTTCTGATATCAGCTTCATGAATGATAACACCCTTGTCTCTGGGTCATGACCAATTTTTACCCCACAACTATCCGGGGCTCTGTGATTCCTTTATTTGAAGGGGGTATCATTGGCCCCAGAAATCTCTTCTCTAGGCTGATAGCTCCTTGCCCTTTAATGGTTTCAGACCTCTAGGAATCCTACCTTCATTCCTATTTGGTTCATCCACAGCATACTTATTGGAACTTTTTAAGTCTGATCTCTTTGGGGGTAAAGCTTTGTTTCACTTCACCATTTAAGCTCGCAGCTGGGTCTTAACAATAGCTATTGACCCAACGGCAGCTGCCATCTTCCTGAGCTTTTCTGTCTCAGATTAATTCCTGCTTATGCTCTGTTGGACTGGACCCCATCTAAATGACCAGATTCTTTATGATGGCTTCCCTCAGGTTGCCCTATGGCGAGACCTTCTAGGATCTTATCACTGCCTTGGATACCAGAGAATAACTATACATACTGTTAATATAATAGTTCCCAACAACAGCAAGGAAGAGTTTTTCCTCTTATGAAAACAGAAAAGATGCTTTTCAAATGTTGAGATAACATGAAATGGGATGGAAAGCAAATGCTTTGGAAGCCAAATCAAAAAGATTTCAATAGTTGAGGATAGCTTGCTAAAAGAAATAGAATGGGATTTGAAGGATAAATGTGTAGTCCTGAATTGCAGTTAAAAAAAAAATCACGCCTTCAAGTTCAAGGTTGGAATACCTGCCTTAATTGTGGTTTGTGCTAGGGTGGGAGTTGGAGATTTTATTTGACTAAGGAAGACCACTCTGACCTGAGTGCTAAGACGGCGTGTGCTCTTAGATGTGTTAGCAGTACTCTGTCCAGGTTGAGAAGGGAAGCCCCAGACCCTCTGCCCAGGGATTGAGCTCTGGCAGCCTGTGGGCACAACACATTGTATTGACTAGCATACTGATTTTGAAAAATTCGGAATGGAATCTCTTTGGGTAAGGCATATACTCTCCAGTGTTAGGCATTTATGTTATTTCTCTGTTTCTAAAGACTTTTTAAAAAATTTTATTTTTGGCTGCTTTGGGTCTTTGTTGCTGCATGTGGGCTTTCTTTAGTTGCAGCGAGCAGGGGCTGCTCTTCGTTGCAGTGCGCGGGCTTCTCATTGTGGTGGCTTCTCTTGTTGCAGAGCACGGGCTCTAGGGCGCTCGGGCTTCAGTAGTTGTGGCCCACGGGCTTTAGAGTGCAGGCTCAGTAGTTGTGGCTCACGGGCTTAGTTGCTCCGTGACATGTGGGATCTTCCCGGACCAGGGATGGAACCCGTGTCCCCTGCATTGGCGGGCGGGTTCTTAACCACTGCGCCACTGGCGAAGTCCCTCTAAAGACTCTTGTGATCCTCCTTTCTCAGTCCCTTATTTAAATACTGTTCACGGGTACCGGGGTCCATCCTAAGCCTACACTTTGAGAGGGACTTCATAAAATGAAGGGGATGAAGAAGAGGATGACCTGGAAAGCACGGAAATTAGATGCCAGTTCACATTGCAGTTGTGAGGGCCACCGCTCTGTAGTCTGGAGAGCTGTCTTCAGGTACCTGAAGGATTGTCATGTGGAAGAGGAGTTAGATTCAGTCCATCTCTGGGAATTTTTCAGGACTACGCACCTTACTTCAGTCACAAAGTTGAGAGGATACAGAGGGGAGCAAGTCAGTCTGTCTGTCTTCAAGGCCAAGTTTACCATACAGTGGAGGAGATACACAGAGACGGCTGTAAATTAGTAATACTCTCTGGTTCTCCAGAAGACAGAAATGAGGAGGCAGATTTCTGCTCAGTTTAGAAAGCCCTTTCCTAACAATTAGAGCTCTCCCCAAGTGGAGAGAGCTGCCTTCAAAACTAGTCACCAGTCCTGTTGTCCAGCTCATGAGGATGAGCTGGAGAAGCGTTGAATGGGGGTCAGAGTAGATGATTTTTCTGCCTTTATTAATCTATGGTTCCGAGTCCCCTGACTTGCTTTCCTTTACTTACCCAAAGAGAGTTATTACCATACTGAATGCCCACGGGTTGTACTCAGTGTTTTAGGCAGACCACGCTGGGAAGAGTGTGCGGTTGCAGGGTTTCTACTGGGTGGAATTGCACTGGTGAGTTTGTCTTATGGAGGCACAAGAGCCGATAAGCAGGGACCTGGCTGGTTTTCTTGTTCACGGACCTGGTAGAAGAATCTAGTGGCATATTTGGCAGGTACAGTCTGTTGCTTCTTTTGTTTGTTGGTTGCATCTGGCTGTGAGGATTATGACATCCCCTTTGAGTGGTGCAACACCTCATTTACTGGGAAAAGTATCCTGAGAGAAGTCTATTTCCTATGTCCCGTCCCCACCCCGCTCCAGGAATCCAGATAACATCCAGAGATTAGCTCCCAAGACAGGAGATTCCAAGTTCTTCCTCTTTGATGGTGGAACTTTAAAATAAGTCAGACTTCTATTGTCGGGTCCCTAAAAATCCCTCAGCCCTACAAAACATGTAAGTCACGTTTTGGCTCCATGCAGAAGGCTAAACCAAGCAAAGGCAGCATCTCTTAACAGCCTTTGAGGCAAAATCTGGCAGCACCATTCTTTATTTTTTTTTGCGGTTCACGGGCCTCCCACTGTTGCGGCCTCTCCCGTTGCGGAGCACAGGCTCCGGACGCGCAGGCTCAGCGGCCATGGCTCACGGGCCCAGCCGCTCCGCGGCATGTGGGATCCTCCCGGACCGGGGCACGAACCCGCGTCCCCTGCATCGGCAGGCGGACTCTCAACCACTGCTCCCCAGGGAAGCCCTAGAGTATAGTTGATTTACAACGTTGCGTTACTTTCTGCTCTACAGCAAAGTGTATCAGTTATGCATATACGTATATACTCTTTTTTAGATTCTTTTCCCATACAGGTCATTACAGAGAACTGGGAAGAGTTCGCTGTGTTACACTGTAGGTCCTTATTAGTTATCTATTTTATATATAGTAGTGTGTATATGTCAGTCTCAGTCTCTCAATTTATCCCTCCCCCACCCCCAAGGTAATTTTTTAAGCGGCTTTATATATTTCACATACTATACCATTCACCCATTTGCAGTGTACAGTTCAATGGTTTTAGTATATTCACACAGTTGTATGACCAGTACCACAATTTGAGGACATTTTTACCAGTCACTCTCCATTTCCCCTCAAAATCCTCAGTCCTAAGCAACCAACCACCCATCTACTTCCTGTCTCTATAAATTTGCCTGTTCTGTACGCTTCTTATAAAGAGAGTCACACAACAGGTGGTCCTTTGTGACAGACTTCTTTCTCTTAGCATAATGTTTTCAAGGTTTGTCCCTTGTCATGTACCAGTACTTCATTCCTTTTATTGTCAAATAATATTCCATTTTAGGAATATACTATATTTTCTTTATCCACCGTCAGCCAATGGACGTTTGGGTTGATTCCACTTTTTGGCTGTTGTGAATAATGCCGCCAATAAACAATGTATACAAGTTTTTGTGGAGAAATATATCTTCATTTCTTCTGGGAATATACCTAGAAGTGGAATTTCTGGGCCATATGATAACTTTATGTCTAACCTTTTGAGGAACTTCCAGACATTGTCCAAGCAGCTGTACCATTTTACAGAGGCGTTTCATAAAAGCTCCCTGTGGTGAGTCTAGATACGATTATACTGTGCTGCTCGTGTGGGCTGGAACCCTCTCTCTGCCTCATCTGGAAGTAAGATAACTGCAGAACAGAGATCAGCTTGTACCCGAAGGGGAGAATACTTTTAGAGCAGAACATCCGCCCCTTCCAAGGTGTTCTTTTCAACCTTCTCCATCCCTCAGCTCTTGATAGTAGTCCAAGGTCAACTGAGCTCTGACTAGAGGACTGGTCAGAGGAAGGAAGGAGGAAGATTACCTATGCAGTGTCCACCTAGGTACGGGTTGGCTGCAAAGAGTTAAGCTGATCTGGAAAACTGATCTGTGGGTTAAGTGGAGCAGAGCCACAGATGTGTAATCCCCACTTCTGAGGATGTGACATCTCTTCTTGTAAGTGTCATCACTTAGTTGGTGCTATCTGGTAAAAACTGAGTCATGAGGTGCCGACAAAAATTCCTTGCACTCAATGTGAAACTTGAGGCATCTGCTCATTCCTGAGATATTCACAGCTGTCAGCCCCGTTTTGATGGTAAACAATTTGCTGCGGATGAAATCCTGCACTGTGACTTTCCCCCGCTTGTCTGAGAGAGGCATAGACCCAGGTGGTGTGCCCTTGAGAACCTGAGTGTGAGGGTGACCCGAGGATTGAGCAACCCCGCCTTTCACAGAGCCCTGTTGCCAAAGCAGCCCCAGTGGAGGAAGACAGAAACCAACCGTATCGTCCCAGGAGCTTTTAAAGAACATTCCTTCCGCTGCAGATGTGCGTTTCCAAAGGGTGCCTGTGAACCAGCCTGAGTCTTGTTCTCCCTTCTTTGTGTTTGCAGCCACGGCACGGGGTACGATAGTGATAACCACACCACTCCCATCCTCTGTGGTGCCCAGTACAGGATACACACCCACGGCGTCTTCAGGGGCATTCAGGTGAGTATGCAGGGGCCCCAGATGCCTCTTTCCTTCCCAACAGTCTTTCACTTCCTTGCTGAAGGCCGTTTGGCCCTGGTAAGTCTGTTCCTAATTGTAGGCTCCTGTGACAGCAGGGACCCCTCCTCTTCCACTGGGACAGGTTAGGGGCCTCCTTCTCTCCAGAGGCCAGTGTGGACGTGGCCGCCTCCCTGACTCAGACCAGGATGCTTCCTGCAGAACCCCTTCCCTTCCTCCTTCACTGCCTAACTCACCTTCTCCCGGGTGGGCCGCGCACATCTTGTATCGGGGGGTAAATGAGCTTGAATTAATGACCTGGACTCTTGACTTGTAAGGAGACTTGGTCTGCAAGGTAAAGTGCCCAAAGTTAGAGTCTATCATTGCTAATAATAACAGCACCATGTATGGCTGGACACTTTCTATATGCCAGGCATTGTGCTAAGTTTTATACATGGGCTTTCTTTTAAAGATAGGATTCATTTTTTTCGAGCAGTTTTTAGGTTTAAGGAAAAACAGAAAGTACAGAGAGTTCCCATATCCACCCCTCACCCCATCCCTTGGTCTCCCCTGTTATTAACATCTTGTATTGGTGGTACATTTGTTACAGTGATGAGCCAATATTGATCCATTATTAACTGAAGTCCATAGTTTACATTAGGGTTCACTTTGTGTGTTGTGCAGTTCTAAGGGAGAGTAAAGAAAGTAAAGTAAAAAGGCTGACGTTTTCTGAGAATTCAGGAAACTCGATGGAAGGCCACCTCCAGGGAGCCTCTTTTCGTTGCTCAGAACCATGCGCAGCTACCAAGGGTCTGTGTTTGTGACTGTGGCATGTGACTCAGTGTCTGCAACATGAGGAACGGCTGAGATACTTTCACCGGCCTAGTCAGCACACTAGAAACAAATTGTGTGTGGGCCAAGTCCTCACGTGATGTGTGGGGCAAGCGCTCTGAGATGTCCTGATTAATGTTTCCAGAAGCATCATGGTGATAGAACAGCTTGCTCCCTTATCTCAGGCCTTCCAATGGTGGGAATAAAGGCAAGGGTTACAGAAATATGATGGAAATCAGATGGAAATTAGACAAGTACCGTCAGACTCTTTTCCACCAGGACTGACATTGACAACTCAGATTTATAGCCTATTGCCGTGTGTGCTGCCTTCAGGATGAATTAAAGGAAATGTAAAAAGCTCCTTTTGCCTTCCTTTCCACCAAGCGCAGTTTGTCAGACTCGCTGTCATGGCCTCTGATACACTCCAGACCAGTCGGGTGTTCATTTTCTGCTAGAGTAGACCAATCGGACACAGCTGGCTCACCATTTAAACTTATGCCACATTTTGCCTTGAGGCACTGTGTCGCCCATCAATAGCAGAGCTATATGAGACTACTGTACGTTTTCTTCAAAAAGATCTCACGGTGCAAGGCAGTGTGAAATAGGAACGCAAACAGGAGCTTGGGGGTGGTGTGGGAAGTGCACAGGGCAGGAGTGCGTTAAGCTCAGAAGTGTTTCCAGGTCTTAACACAAACTATGGCCGTGCTCTTGGGCCTTGACTGCACATCTGTGAGAGCACAAGGGATACAGTGATCCCTCAGGCACTTACACTGTTCCTGTCTATGACTCATTGGTCCCAGGAGCCTAAGGGGCTTTTGCCTCACTGTTTCCCTGTAGCTCCTTTTCATGGAGGACCGGCCATGCACACACTCACTCACACAAGGTAAGGGGGATCAGAAGAATGCCCTGAGGTGGACACGTGGAGTGGATGGAAGGCGGACACAGTGTTTCTGAGTGTCTCTAGTAAAGGATTGCCCTGGCTACACCATGGCCCTCCTGGAGTTTCAGCTCCCCTCACAGACAGAACCTCCATATCCCAGGAGCTCCTTCTTCCTTGTCATTTACTCATATGTGGAAGGTCTGCTTAGTTGGGGGTTCATTTAACATCCTTTGTTTTTCTCTACTAAGGACTTCCCAACCCATTGCAGATTGGACCCAAGGTCATGTGGCCAGGGAGGGAATAGAATAGAACCTGGAGCTTTGGACTTCCAGACCTCACTGCCTCAAGAGGAGAAGCTGAGAGACAGGATGGATTGGGAGCTCTTCCAGTCACCAGCGTTTCTTTTCCAGATGCTCCAGATCAGCAGCACCAAACAGACTTTATTTCAAGTTCCCGTTCTGGTTGATAGCCATGATGATGTTAGAGCACTGCATTGTAGAATATACTGCTCTCTCACCCATTAGTGACATCTGCTGCGGGCGCCTCGGGTGTGGTGGGGAGTGGCTTAGGCCTCACATCCGCCATCCCTTCTTTGGGAATACTTCAACGCTCACTTTCCTTGGGACCAACGTGAATGTTCACATGTGCCTTAAAACCTCCGTTTCTCTTACACTCTGCTTGCAGGACGTGCGGCGAGTGCCCGGAGTAGCCCCGACTCTTGTTCGGTCGGCATCTGAGAGCAGTGAGAAACGCCCCTTCATGTGTGCTTACCCGGGCTGCAATAAGAGATATTTTAAGCTGTCTCACTTACAGATGCACAGCCGGAAGCACACTGGTAAGTGCGTCCGCTGTCCAGCCTTGGCTCTGGTGGCCTTTGGGCAGCGGTGGCCCAGGAGCCCCTGCTCCTGGCTCCTGCGCTGCTGGGACACAGGTGATTTCTGGGATGGAAAGTAGGTGCTGCTTTCAAAGATCTGGCCCAGGTGATGGGAAAAGGATGCCAGGTCATTTTGTATCCTGATTGTCCATCCTTTATTAAAGAAGGGTAGAGCAGAGTAGGTGGAGAGAGAATCCCACAGAATTAAAGAGACCTGTGTTTGAATTCTGGCTTCACCACCAGGTGGTGTGACCTTGAGCAAGTTACCTAACTGTTCTTCAAATTTCACTTACCTCACCTACCTTATACAATGGTTGAGACTAGATTAACTTCTAAAATCAAATTGAATTAAAGGAGTTAGAGGTGTGAAACATACAGTTCCTATGTTAATAGGTCTGAATAGATGAGAGTGTTACTTTTATAATTCTATTAGTATCTCCTAAGGGAGAGGAGCTAGCCTGGGAGCTTGGTAATCAAATGATTCTGAGAGCTTGATATGCAAGGGCATCGTAAGACTTAGGAAGAGATGGTCCAAAGAAGAACTTAACTGCTTGGGTTAGTAATAACCAACCAGATAGGAACAGGAAAATGGCTTGTAGGTTTAGTTTTTGATTTCAATCTTTAAAAAACGGAATGATGATTTTTGATGATGTTTTAAAGAAAACTGGATTTTTCCCACAGGTCAAGGGGTCTGCCTCTGGGAAAGAGAGAATTGGCCATGTGCTGTTGTTGGCTGCCTTGAATGTGGACAGCCATTTCACAAATGTCTGCTCCTGGCCTTGTGGGCACTAGATAGGAGTGTGGCTAGGTCTCCCCTACAGAAAAGCCGGGCAAAGCACAGGCTTTCCTGCTGGGGAGTTGGTACCATTCTTTCCACGACAGAAGGGAAGCTACATTGTTATGATTACCATTATTATTTTATTGTTACTGTGGACTTTGCTTTGGAGAAGCTGGAGAAGAAAGTGAGCTGCGTTCAGATCTCTTTAGACCATCGGTCTTTGCTAAGCCATTGCGTCTGGAGGATGCAGTTCTGGCTTAGACCTGAGTTTGCACTCAGTAAACCACTTGCTTTGAAGCTGAAGACAAGAGAACCAGTTACATGTTATATTTTTACATATTTCCCCAAATGGGATCATTTGAAAACCATCTGTTAAGATTATAAGGAAAATGATAAGGTAAAGTTCTGCCTAGACGGATGTAATACATTGAAGGCAATGGGGTTGTAGAAATTGTAATGGGAAAGAGGCACTTAGAAAACAGTGAGGGTTAGATGTCTGTGGGAAGGGAAGGCAGTGGGCAAGATAGTCATGACCCCCAGACCCGCTGGAACCTTTAAGAAACGCTTCCTTGGGCTTCCCTGGTGGCGCAGTGGTTGAGAGTCCGCCTGCCGTTGCAGGGGATGCGGGTTCGTGCCCTGGTCTGGGAAGATCCCACATGCCGCGGAGCGGCTGGGCCCGTGAGCCATGGCCGCTGAGCCTGCGCATCCAGAGCCTGTGCTCTGCAACGGGAGAGGCCACAACAGTGAGAGGCCCGCGTACCGCAAAAAGGGCGGGGTATTTAACAACGCTGAAGTCCCCTTCTTAAAAGAGTGCCATCTTTTTTTATTTATTTATAATAATAGTACAGACTATTATGTTAAGTATTTTTATATTAAATACTTTCTATGTGCCAAATTCTCTACATGCATTATTTCATTTAATCCTCACGCACAATTATCCGGTGGTAGGATATAGGGAAGCGGGACTTAAACTCATGACTTTCAACTCCAAGTCACAGGACCCCTTCTCAAAGAGTCTGTGGTCTGTTTTGGAGCCAAGACATACACAAATGAAAAGGGACAGAGAGTGTGTGAATCTGGAGGTGCTGAGAAGTCTTGCTCGAGTGAGCGTCGTTCGTTTCTTGGAGGAGGAAGGGCTTGGGTTAACCATCAAAGGGTTGGCAAGGTTGGGCAGAGGAAGTAAAGAATGAGCAGAAGCAGAAAGGCAGAGAAAAGACATGAGACTGAACAGGAGTGTTGCTTTTCCCAGGTTGAAGAGGTGAAGCTTAAGTTGCTGGGCTGGATATCAATAGAAAGTTAAGGAAAGGCTCCTGCCCTCAGGATTTTCCAGCTCGCGGCAGAGCTAGACCTGGACACGGCCCCATGTTAGACATTCTGTAATAAGTTCTGTGATGAGGGAAGGAAGGGCTTTCTGTGTGAACATGAAGTTTCCAAGAAGGCATCGCAGAGGAAGCGGCATTTGTGAGGGACGTGCAGTAGAGTTTTTGATGGGTTAGGGATCCGGAGATAGGGATGGAGGATGTTTGGTGTGAGCAAAGTACAAGGCAGTTTTTGGGAATGGTGAGCTCTGTATAGCAGGAATATAGATTAATCAGGGAAACAGAGGGGGTCATGAGGCTGGAAGGGTAACCAGGCACTGCCCAGCAACAGAAAGAGCCGGCTGATCCTGGGAGGGCTTGCTCTCCATCCCAGAATGCTGGTGACTCAGAATTCTCATAAGAAGGTGGGATGGCCCAGGGTCGCTCAGTGCATTCAGAGGGCGCAGTTCCCAGGATTTGGCTGAACTTTCTCCAGTGACGACAGGGGTGAGGCTTCTCCATTCTGAGGCAGGAGGTTGTGTAATCCCACTCCTGACTTCTCTCGGGTAAAGGGATACCAAAAACTCTAAAGGCTCTGGCTCCTGGTTTAACTTGAGCACCTCACAACCATGCAGCTGTTTACGCCTGACTCAGGGATGGGAAGTCAGTAGCAGCGAGCACCACACCTTCAGGCCGTAAACCATAAAACACTTACTTCACGGGGCTGGCTCCGAGGCACCTCTATCCCAGGATTCTGCCTCAGACTCAGCCTAGGACTTAAGACTGCTCTGGTCTATTATTTGTTGAAATATTCTCTACCAGTACTTTCTGAGCACTGTCTCTGTGCTAGGCACTGGCCTAAGACCCTTATGTGGATGGTCTGCTGTAATCTGCTTATAAATCCTTGGAAGTTGTCGGATTATTGGCTCCACTTCACAGTGAGGAAATGGTACCTCAACCAGCACTTTAAGTGGAAGAGGTGGATGTGACCCCAGCGTCAGACTCCAGAACCTGAATTCCCTTCACTTCTTTTTTTAAATTTATTTATTTTTGGCTGCGTTGGGTCTTGTGTTGCCGTGCGCGGGCTTTCTCTAGCTGCAGTGAGCGGGGGCTACTCTTTGTTGCGGTACGCGGGCTTCTCACTGCCGTGGCTTCTCTTGTTGCGGAGCACGGGCTCTAGGTGCTCAGGCTTCAGTAGTTGTAGCACGCGAGCTCAGTAGTTGTGGCACCCTGGCTTAGTTGCTCCGCGGCATGTGGGATTTTCCCGAACCAGGGATCGAACCCGTGTCCCCTGCATTGGCAGGTGGATTCTTAACCACTGCGCCACCAGGGAAGTCCCCCTCCGTTCGCTTCTAACGCATCCTTATTCACGCAACCCCCTTCTATGCCTCCTGCCCATGAGTGTATGTGTAGGCGGGCCTTTAACCTCACACTGCGGTTGGCAGCCCCTCACACTGCGGTTGGCAGCCCATCCCTGAAACCTTCCACCCAAGTGCCTTCAGCATTTTGGGATCCCTTCAGTCCCAGTAAGAGAAGTTGCCTCTAATGAGATCTTCATTTCCAGTATCATTTTCAAACGGAATATGTGTCTTCCCCAAGGTGAGAAGCCATACCAGTGTGACTTCAAGGACTGTGAGCGAAGGTTTTCTCGTTCAGACCAGCTCAAAAGACACCAAAGGAGACACACAGGTTTGTAGGCTCCCTTCTCGTTGCTGGCAGTGTGTTCCCTCGGGTCATGGTTGATTTTGTGATTCTCTTTATTGTTCAATATGGATGTGAGAGGGTCAGCCATTTGTTTGTTTAGTTTCTCCAATAATTTTCCCCCCCCTAATCTCTGGGGATTTACCTTCCCTTAAAGGGCGGGGGAAAGAAGAAGAAGAAAGGAAAGAAAAAGAAACATCCCGTATTTCCCCTGAAAACCACAGAGCCATGATATTCCCATTAGCAATTTGCTGTTGATACACTGAGTGTCAGTAAAGAACATGGGTGGTGGAGAGCAAAATCCCATTTGTAGTGTGTGATTCACTTTTTCAGTCTCAGACACAGCTGAGAACTTGGTGAGAAGCTGGACGTTTGTGGTTAAGCCGTAGTTGTTCCCAAGACCACAGGTCTTCAAGGATTACTGTGTAGAATCAGGTGGTTCCTGCTGGGCCTGGGGTACTGGGGAAATCTGAGGGCGAGGCAGATACTGTAGGCGTGGCTGGAGATGCCTGGCTCCTCGGGCCGCCGGGAAGCAGGGCTCGTGGGCCTTGCTTTGCCCCACATGGTTAGGGCCACGGCTAGACCTTCTCTGTCCGTTTAGGTGTGAAACCATTCCAGTGTAAAACTTGTCAGCGAAAGTTCTCCCGGTCTGACCATCTGAAGACCCACACCAGGACTCATACAGGTAAAACAAGTGCGTAAACTTTTCTTCACATTTATTTTTCATTATTTTTTTAAACTACTGTTGAATGGAGTTGCTTGTGATGAGAGAGACTGGAGAAAACAAGTGTAAAAGTTCTAAGCAGGTTTAGATTCAGGGGAGAGAAAGCACAGTGCATGGCTATCTTTAAATAACAACATTGTTTAAGAAGGAATGAGGGTGGGGGACACAGAGCATAAGAGATGTGAAAAGAACTCTTTTCATGAGTGTCCAGAATGAAGTGAAGAGATAAGCTAGGTCCCTGCTGTTCCCAATTTGTTGCATCACATTTTTATCAACTCAGTTTGATAGGATAATCAACCTTACAGAAAAACAGCAAAAATTCTAGCAAGCCAAACACTTATTTTCCTGAAAGTTTGCGTTTCACAACACTATTTTCAGAGGACTGAATCTTTGCTCTGCTAAAAGTTAGTGTTGCAGGAGCAGTCATGGTTTCTGCCAGACCCATATCAGCGTGTGGGTATTATTTCCTTCGTACTAGAATAGAGAGGGGAATAGGACATTAATTCACTGGCTGCTGGAAGTTTTTGCTTCTCCACAAGGCTGGTGTGATTCGTAATGAAAATAGCACCATCTTTGTTGTGTGTTTTCTAGCTTTGGAGGGAGGGCCAATGCTTAGGTTATCTCATTTTATCTTCGCAACATCCTTGGAAGAAGAGGAGGGTAGGCACGTTTTTATCCCCATTTTACAGATGAGGAGGCTGAGGCACGTGATAAAATGACTTTGTCTAAAGTCCCAAAGCTAGTAAGTAGCAAACCCAGTTCTGTCTTCTCCCAGCCCACCTACCCACTGCCTTCTTTGTTGGGGAAAGAGCCTGGGTTCACCTTGCAGCCCAGGGAGGATAGAGAATAAAGAAGAGACCCAAGGTCAGCAGAGTTGAATTCCATTGAGAGACTGAGGAGAATGATGACTGGCAGGAGGAGAGGTTGGGATTTGTCCATCAGGAGGTGTTCTTTGACAGCATGGCTGGCGGTTGGAGGTGGGGGGCGCGGACAGGAACCAGATCAGAAAGAGCAGAGGAACAGTGAGTAGGAGGTGAGGGAAACGGGAGGTCATGAGCCCCTGTGAAGTCCTGGATTCTCAGCCCCAACAGGCTGTACGTACTGACAGTCAAGGCACCTGTGCCCCAGAGTTGGTGGGATGGGCATCTCATTCCGTTACTCACGTGCCTTTGGTGTCACTTCTTTGCCTTCGTCCTGAGCTCATAACTTGGTGGGAAAGAGTTATCATCGCTTGTACCCTGCCCCCTACCCGGTGCATATCTGTATATGTACAAAGTGACCTATGTCACCAGCAGATTGTTTAATGCTCTATTTGACTGGCCTCCAGTTCTGACCCTGGAACAGCGCCTCTCCTGGGACATTTCTCAGTGCTTGCCCCATCCACTAGTTCTCAGAGAAAGCAACGTGGGACTAGCCATATCCTGAGAACATCCCCAGGTGGTACGGGAATAGGCTCCTGCAACGTTTTTACTTAGGATAAAGCTATGGCTGTATTTCCATTATGTCGAGGTCCAGTGCATTGAGGTATGATGCAGCAACGTGTGTGGGCTTTGGAATCAGACAGACCTGGATTTAAGTCTTGCCTGGGTCTGCCCTCACCAGAGGTCCAGCTTCATCTGTAGAGTGGGGATAATAATGCCGGCCTTACAGGCTGCTGTAAGGAGTACACGAAATTATATATATATGTGTGTGTGTGTGTGTGTGTGTGTGTGTATATGTATGTATATATATATATATATTTGAATATATATGTATGTATATATGTGTGTGTGTGATATCCCAGCACAAGGCTTGGCACGTATTAGGCATTCATAAATGCTGATTATCTTCCCTATCCAAAATGAGGCTTGGAAGGATCTTCTGAGGCCTCCTTAGGTGGAGAAGCCTCAATTTTTTGGCAAGCTTGTTAAAAATCTCAAAACCATGCCTCAGTTAGAATCTTCTGTATAATGGGTATTATGCTGAGTAACCCTTTAAGGTGAAAGAAGCAAATACCATGTGCACTGATGTCAGTGATTTATTTAAAAAACACCCAGCCCATCCAGAATATCTATACAGACAGAGATATTAAAGCTACAGTCACAGCTCCGCTACTGGGTGGCCGTCAATCAACAATATCCAGGGTGATGATCCTGAGGCCCTTGCCTCCCAATTAAGCTCAATTCCCTCCTTAAACAGCAAAGGGGAAACATTTACACAGTTCACAAAACAGTCTAATGGCAGGGGTTTTACCAAATGTTTTTCCCCCTTGATTAAATATGAATCGCCCAGACATTTCCATTAACTAGACTCCTTCTTTCTCTCCCATTTCCCAAGTCTTCTGACTCAATGACACTTTATAATTGTCACAGTATTTTAATCCTTAAGGCCCCAGAGGTGCTGCCACTTCAAGGCTGCTTGTGAGATGGGCCCGATTTGTTAGCTTAGGGAAAGAGTTAGAGAGAATCTGGAGTGGGTGTCTCGTGATGATTTAATTTGGGCCTTTGATGCTTGAACTTGCACCCCATCTCTCCACCGCAAGTGTCTCTGACTGGCCATTGTGTCAACAGGTGAAAAGCCCTTCAGCTGTCGGTGGCCCAGTTGTCAGAAAAAGTTTGCCCGGTCAGACGAATTAGTCCGCCATCACAACATGCACCAGAGAAACATAAGCAAACTCCAGCTGGCGCTTTGAGGGGTCCACGCCAGGCACCGCTCTGTGTCTCGGGCAGGACAGTGTGTGAACTACTTTCAAAGCTGACTTTAACATTCCTCCTCACTCGCCTCTCTAAGAAGGAAATGGAGGCTGATCTTCTTCATCCAGCCTCTGAGAAAGATGCCTGTACTACTGGATCCTACCAGGTTTGCCCAGAGGAGTTGGTCTCTACTTAGCCGACTTTTAGTTGACTCATAAGGCTCTGGAGAAGTGGCTGTCAGTGTCCAGTTAGTGAAAAGCCCATTGCCATTTGGTCTGGATTTTCCACTGTTAAGAAGAGCCGTTGATGGTAATGTTCCCCCCTGCCCCTTCTCCCTTTATGCTCATTTTCACGGGGAATGGCGTCGTTGTACCTTTTTCCATCATAGAGTATTTATAGGCCAGGGCATGTGGATGTGTCTGCTAATGTAAACTTTGTCATGGTTTCCATTTACTAACAGCAACAGCAAGAAATAAATCAGAGGGCGAGGCACTGGGGGTGAGTCCCGTCTGACATTCCGGAGCTTAGGCAGGCCGCTAACCTGGAAAGCAGGATGTAGCGCCACCAGGCAACTTTTAAAACTCAAGCATTTCAAGCCGCTGAAAAAAGAATCAGAGCTAACCAGTACCTCTGCAGAGATATCTAAAAGAATCTTTTATCATTCAGTTAATTCAATGTAACATTAGCACAATGCTCTTAAGAAACCGTGCTTGAGGATCTGAGATTTTGTTTTCGTGTTTCTTTTTGACTTTTCTGAGTTGTAATCGTATGCATCTTCAGAGATGTACATATCTCCTCACACAAAGGAAGTGGAATTCATTTTTATCATTTGGGGTGTCCTTAAGAGTATACAGACCACACTGGTTATGTGGCTTCAAGTTGTAAAAAATTAAAGTGACTCTAAAAGAAAATAAGGGCTGGTCCGGGATCTCCACTGATAAGACTGTTCTTTAGTAACTTAAGTAACTTTGGGTCTACAAGTATATGTGAAAAAAAATGAGACTTACTAGTGTGAGGAAATCCATTGTTTAAAGGTGGTTGGGTGTATGTGTGTGTTTTGTTTCTGTTTTTTAAGGGAGGGAGTTTATTATTTACTGTTGCTTGAAATTATTGTGTAAATATATATATCTGACAATGATTTGCTCTTTGACAACTAAAGTTAGGAAATGTATAAATGTTAGATGCATCACTGTTTTGGTGTTGATCTTCCAACATATAACACTAAGTAACACTAAAAATGTAACCTGCATTTTTCACTTCGCTCTCAATTAAAGTCTATTCAAAAGGAAAGTGGTAAGATTCTATCAGCTGTATTGCGTACAAATCTTGAGGACAGTTGAGCCTCTTTTAAACAGGTAAGATGCTGACGCTGACATCAATGACCGCTTAAGTCTATCCAGGTCCTGACCACTCGTTATTTCTCTCCGTTGAACCTCAGGTGGTAATTACTGGTCATAGAAGCAGCCAGGGAGCACCGCCTTCACCTGTCATCATGCCATGTGGATGGCATGGGGGGAATTGTATTTTCAGAGTCATTTTCATCAGGCTCTCATTGCATAATTGCTTACTCCAGGTCAGCAAAAGAGAGTGGAGAGATGCAAATGATAACTGGTCTTTTTTGAAAAGTTCACTGCTATACACTGCAGTCAGGAGAGTATAAACTGAACACGTAGTACAACCCAATTTACAATCGTAGTTGCTATAAATTAGCTCAGCAGGTTGGAAACTGCTTAAGATTTTCCAGGGCAGCCGAGTGTGAAAGGCAAAGATCTACGTTATCTATAAACTATAAACTCTCTTTCTGGTTCTGGTGGATGGTTTTTCAGTTGTAAATAAGGAGATTAATTTGGTGCCGCCCCTCTCAACTCCGTTATCTGGGAGCTTGCGTGCATTCCAGGCTTCATTTCTTCATTTAAAATGTATCTTGAGCAGACAGCAGCTCACAACAGAGACTTTTCTGCGTTGAAGTGCAGCTCAAAGTTTGGGCTGCCTAAAAGTCAGGTCCTGAGGCCCCTCTTGGTTAGCATCTGGCTCTTGCATCACTGTTAATTATAGCCAGTGTAGTGACTCATTTGTATCAGCAGTTTTTATCTTTTCCTGCCAGAAGACGGCATTTCTCTGGAGAAGCTCAGGACGAGCATGGCAAACGTCAGCGAGTCAGAGCGAGCCAGGTTTCACAACAAAAGCAGTCACATTGTTTCATCTGCGCTAGGAAGCCCAGAGATTCTCACACTACTTTAGCAGGTTAGCTTGCAGTTAAGGTCATGGGCTTTGGAAAGCAGACCAACCTGGATTCAGATCCTAAGTCCTCAGTTTCCTTATCTGTGAAGTGGGGACTTTTTGTCCCTATCTGTCTGATAGGGTTGTAGTGAGGATTAAATGGGGGGGGGGAAGCATGAAAGCATCTAGTACATTGCCAAGGCTTCATAGGCATCATCTAGGAAAATGATTACCTGAGAACTCATGCTAATTTCCTTTACCTCCCCCCTCCCCCGCTGCATCCTCTTGCAGTGTCCAGACATCTTCATGCAAAATGACAAACAAATCCATTTCCATATACTACAAACCAGGGTTAAGGTTTGCAGCAATAGGGCTCTTGTCAGCCTCCCCACAGAGACCACATCTATTTGCTTTCTGCCTTTTGTAACACACCCAGTGGCATTGAGTGTGTGTTTTGAGACCCGTGGAGTTGACCACGAGCAGGTTGTCAGGATGAAAGCTGGTCAGAGGGAGCTCTCTGTAGCTCAGGCTAGAGTCTATCTGAAGTGCAAAGGTCAAAATGTACATTTTTTCCATCTTGCTTTAGTAAAGTGTATGGTCCAATATCTTTAAAAGGCCACCTTCAGCCCCCCAGTGGGTCTTCCCAGACTGTCTCACCCCGGCACTTCTGTAGCACTTAGAGTACATAACATTCAATAGTATTTTTTATGGGTATCATGCTTTCCCACCTAGGACCATCTACCTATAAGGTAGACAGGACAAGTATTATTCCCACTGTACAGATGAGGAAGCTGAGGCTCAGTGAAAGTAGTGGCTGAGGCAGGACTTGGTCTAGGTGTTCTGTATCCAAGTTTTCTTCCAAAACGTGCTCGATGATATAGACATGCGCTCTGCTCCATGGTTTCATATCTACAAGTCATATCTTCCTAACCATGTGTGAGCTTCTAGAGGAGTGGATCGTCTCCCTTCCTGTGTTACTTCCTTGAGGACTTCTCAACCTTTAATATCGATAGACATTCCCTGAGGAATTTGTTGAATCACAGACTCCTATTCGGAAGTTCTGGGGTGGGGCCTGAGACTGCATTCCTAACAAGCTCCCAGGTGATGCCCACCCTGCTGGTCTGTGGATGACACTTTACAAAGACCTAACGGCTGAGCTCGAGAAATACTTGCTATAAGGTGACTGATGAGTTTTGCACCTAACACTCCTGAGACTGTCCTGAACCTCTTTAGCCTGTAGAGAGCGGCTGTGAAGATGGCCCGGGGCCCACTGCGATGAGCCCCGGGGCTGTGGGACAGGACATTGGTGCTGAATACAGTCAGAAGAGCTGTATGCAGGAGAGTCCATCCATGAGGAGCTTTGTTTCCAAAACAGCCTGACCGTCCTCTGTCAGTGACTTTCCCCAAGCAAGGGAGACCCCCTCCCCCAGGTAAGGAGAAGGTGGTACACGGTCCCACCTGCATATCCAGTCCTCACACCTCACTCAGGTCACATCTCCACAGCAGGCCTCTCCCTCCCTGAGGCGTGCTTTCCAGCACCCACAAACTGAAACCTCGTGGCTTTGGAGCGGATTTATTCCCTGTGAGCCAGGCAGGAATTCCCCACGTCTTGTCCCTACGAGGAGCCACTTGCTTAGCTCTTTGGGTACCAAAGGGAAAAGGAAAAAGGCAATGTCTTCCAGAGCCCTGTCCTCGCTGCAGGGTGTTTGCATCACTGATTTTGGACTAACAGGTATATCAGGAACAGGTGTAGGGGTGTGTGTGTGTGTGTGTGTGTGTGTGTGTGTAAATGGAACAGTAGTTCCCAGCTAGGGGCACTTTTCTTCACAAGCTTGCAACAGGCAGAGTGGCTCATAGAAACTTCTCACGGGTGAATGTATAAGAACTACAGTAAGGGAAACAAATCCCCAAGAAAATATGAAGGTCTTGGCCGTTTTTATTCAGATCTTTGCTTCTAGTGACTATTTTATTGTATTTCAAATGATTGAAATCCGCACAAAACTTAATAAATAAATGTAAATGATACAATGTTGATGACCACATGGTCTGATTTCTTACACTGAGAAAGTAGCTGCTTCAGTGGAGGGCTCTGGGCTTTTCTCCATCTTTCAAGCAGCCTTGAGAAGGAAAGAGTGAGCCAGGCAGCATCGGAAGGGTCATCTCTCAGAGGGCTGGAGATCCACCCGACCAGCCAGCAGACAGCCATATGCAGTCAGGACCTCCTGAATAAAGTTTTGTTTCAGAGACTCGTGAGGGGATGAGGACAAACTCCTGAGGTTGTAGATGCAGGAAAGTCAGTGCCTTTAAGCACACTGTGAAAATCAGCTAGCTATGAGTGGGAGTCTCAGACAGATCTCAGATACAAGCAGCTAAGGCAGACCAAATTAGCAAATGTGAGTTTAGGAGTTAACAAGATATTTTTATGGAGCAGGGAGGATTGAGAGATGGTCCAGGAGGAGGGGCTAAGATTAGTGTAGAAGGTGGGTTGGCTGAAACAGGTGGCTTCTCCCCTTCTCGGCATCCTGGGAGCATTGACGTTGACACTGGGCGAGAAGGATTGCCTGACACGGCAGGGATTCTGAGGGCCACTGAGGAGGCAGTTGGACTCCAGGAGACAGAAAGGAGGGGTAGAAAGAGGGGGACAACTCTGCGAAGAAAGATGAGACAGATGAGGGATGGAGTGTGGATATCAGGGAGGTCTGTCAGGAAGAGGGGCTTCTGTCAGACAGGGCCCAACGCCCCATGTGAACCCACCCCAGCTCTGTTAACACGCACCCAGGGCCTTCCCAAATGGGAGATGCTCAAGGGCTAACATGCAAATGATAATAATGGGGCCATTTATCGGACCTTTATGTACAGACCAGTGCCATTGTACATGCATTCTCTTATTGAGAATGTTCCCAGTTTACAGATAAAGAAACTGAGACCCTACGCAGTAGCTCACACAGGGCCTCACAGCTCACGTATGGCAGAGATTCAAACCCAACTCTGACTCAGAGCCCACACTCTCAACCCCTTCATTTTACAGTATTTATCCCCCTCGTCTCAGGGCATGTTGGTCTGGAGGAGGAACAGGAATGCCGAGAGAAGGCAACAGTGGCGCCTTCTTGCCCACCAGTTTGTTCGGATACTAGGAGTGTTTGCCAGGTGTCCAGAGGAAGAATAGGCATGATTGGCAAAATGTTCCCTCCTCCCGTTTCCAGTTGCAGAGCCTGTTCGTAAAGTATGGTTTTTGTTTCTTTTTGTGGTACGCGGGCCTCTCACTGTTGCGGCCTCTCCTGTTGCGGAGCACAGGCTCCGGACGCGCAGGCTCAGTGGCCATGGCTCACGGGCCCAGCTGCTCCGCGGCACGTGGGATCTTCCCGGACCAGGGCACGAATCCGTGTCCCCTGCATCGGCAGGCAGACTCCCAACCACTGCGCCACCAGGGAAGCCCGTAAAGTATGTTTTCATTCAATATTTTATATTAAACACCAGAACTTAAATGACCTAGTATAATGTTAGCCGGACAGTGATAAAAGGGGAAAATTGAGAAACACATCTAAAAGTTCAAGGTCAACGAATACTTTTTAAAAGCAGCATCCTGCTTTCCCCAGGAGCTCGGTGTCAGAGGGAGCGGGTGCAGGAGGAAGCTACTGGTGTCTAGTGACGGTGGAGGTGAGGGAAGCTCCAGACGGGTCCCATGGGTAGGATTATCCCCTTGTCTCCACGGGCAGCCTCCATTTTTCTAAGATGTCTCTGGACCCTCACCATCCAAAGGAAGAAGGCCAGGGAGCCTGTCACAGATGTCTTTTGTCCTAATTTTTCTGAGGTCTAAAAATATAATGATCCATCTCAGTGGCTTTTATCACTCACCGTGGGCACAGCCTTCCTTCCAGTCCCCACTGCAGCAGACCTTCTCCCCTGGCAGGGGAGAAGGGGCACAGTGATCCTTGGTAAGGGCTTACAAAGGTCTCATGGGGGAAGAAATCCAGGGAGGCCGCACCTGCCCTCCTCCTAGCAGCAGGCCGAGTGAGGCAGAGTTCATCCCTTCTCGTAGACTCCTGATGAAGACGCCTTTGAGTTCGCTG